CCTTGCATCCTGGCTTGGTAATAGTGTATAATCTCTTTAATGTGCTGTTTAATTCAGTTTGCTAGTATTTTTTTTTTAAGAATGTTTGTATCAACATTCAAAATCGATATTAGCCTTACTTGTCAAGACTAAGCTCGATGGTGTCAGAAAGTCCCTGGTGAGCAGGTGGATATAATAAATTTTGAACAAACAAAGCTTCTACTCTTTTGTGATCCACAAATACAAAACCCACCTGTCCTTTCCCAAACACGTGTAAAGGCCTGATTGTAGAAAAGCTTTGTAGTATTAATGGAAAGAAGACAAGGGTAGGCAGGAGGACAGGGTGCTTGAAAGGCATGAAAATATTACAGATTTCAATCATTAATTACAAACAGACTAATGCTTAGGTTAATATCTTTTGGTCCTTTATTTCAGCCATGACCTTGTTTCTCATTATTTCTTTCTTTGTCTTTGTCAATAACATCTTATCCAGTCTTTCTTCTCCACTTCCACTCTTTACCATTTATTCTCCTTGATCAATGAACATTTCTTATTAACTGCTAAGTAATTTTTCTAAAACATATATCTGATTTAGGTGTGAATTCATTCCACCACTTAAATCCCTCATAAATCCTTATAGTGTTCTATATGAATTCCCACAAGGACCAAGAATATGAAACAAGATTTGACCCTGGCCTAATATAAAACCTTATCTCTTACCATGTCACTACATAAAATTCTTTGCTCAGATATAATGGAGACCAAGCAGTTTTCTAATTGTGGCATGTTCTCTCTTACCTTTCCTGTGCTAGTTGAAAATGCCCCTTTCTCACTCTGCTTTCCTAACTCCTCCCCTTCCTCCTCTTCTGACCCCTCCTTAGGTTTTACCTACAAGAGCCCACCTTCTCTAACTTTCTCAGGTCTTATATTTATTTATATTTTCTTCAAAACTGTTTTCTCTCCCTTCTCCAGAGGTTCTCATCCTTGAGGAATTTACGTGTATGATTTAGAATTTAGTAGAAAGAAACAATCTAGGTTATTTAAGAACCCATGGTTTCTGAGCAAAGAAGTTGAACTTGGGTGGTTATTTACTTTGCTCCTGGGTGGCTGAGTTTTTGTTATGTGTTGCTTCCAGGCAGAACTGTCTTTTCTTTTGTCCAGAGGAGTTACTGACCTCATTTAAAAGGAGGATCTTGAGATTTGAAGTACTAAAGAAGCTGCCTTTGGCACTTCCACTTGCATTCCCTTTGAGCCACTGGAAATAAGTTTCAGAGTAGAAACATTGTGATCGTCCTTACCATTCTCCTACTCTAACCGAAAATGTGTAATTATCTGTGATCTTGATCAGGAAATAATTTTTTAGCCTTTTTCTTAAGAGAAAAAGACAGGAGTACCTACCTGGCCTCCTTTCTATGTAGTTGTCTAAGGAGAAAATGGTGATTATGTGTGTTCCTGGCAAAATAAAATAAATTCTAAATGCATTTTTCATATTTGAATTTTGCTGTTTATGGTGATTAGTATTGATAATAAGTTTGAGGAATGATAGAATTGAAAGTCAGTGCTGGGCTTTGAACACTTAGAATACAAAGTGTGCTTTCCTTGAAGGAAAAACAGCTGGCTAAGAAATAATTGTAAATTATAGTTGAGTATTAAATTTCAGATGTACAGTACCTTGTAAAATTAAGTAAAAGGAAGACTAAAAAATTATTCCAAAGTGCAAATTCAGGAGACCAAAGCAATGAAATAAGTGTAATCTTTTATTCTAAATTAGATTCCAATACTAAAAAAAAAAAAACACATTTATTTTTGCTTTTGAAATAATGAGAATTAATGAGACATTTGCTGAGATTTGCATGTAATCTATAAATTAGATAATATGTCACTGATAATTTTCTGATTTTGATAAGTGTATTATGCTTATATAAAAATAATTTTGGAAAACACACTGAAATATTTAGAGGCAAGTAGGCAACATGACTAAGTTACAAATGTTTCAGAAAAATGATGTGTAGGGCATTGATTGGGAGGATAGAAATGAAAAAATTAGAAAAGTAAAATGTTAACACTGAGAAATTTGGGAGAAAGTTAAGTAGGCATGATGCTATTTTTACAACCTTTCTGCAAGTCTGAAATATCTCAAAATAAATGATTGCATATAAATTGGCTATAAATAAGGTACATTTATGAAATGTAAGAATAAGTCATAGCATTGTTCAGAGAAAATTTAATATTATTTGTTTCCTGTTAAATGCTTTAGTGCATTTTCTTTTTTCCCTGCATTAATTTTTTTAAAGGAAACTTGGACACTGCCTCTCTATTAAAATAATGATCTGTCATAACTATCTTATTTTAGTATTTATATGTATCATTTTAAGCAGAGAGCATAAGTAATAGTTATACCTATGCAAACTATGATTAATAATTAATACTTATTGCCACAATTAAATTGTTTTTAGGTAAAAGAAAAGTATGGATTAGTTTTATTTAAAATGAAGGTGTACAACTGATGTAAATTGAGTGGAGATGCAGAAACTAATACTATAATGAATACAGTGAAGGAAAAAGATGCTGAAAGTATTTGCAAAATTATAACACTAGAGAAAAGCAATAATGCTATTTGTTAAGTAAAAAATTTATAGTAACAAAATGGACAATATTAAGGATTATCTTCAACTGATAAATGGTGAACTTGATGTTTTTCTCTCACCAATCAAATACAAAGAAATTTGTTGCCTGAAATAAAAATATTTATACAATTCACAGGTTCTGAACTTGTAGTTTTGACCAGCTTTTCTTGTTGCACAAAAGGAAAATCAATTTTTATTAGAATAATGATAAAAATTTAATAACATTTTGTTACAAATGATGAGGAGCAAACTAAAAAGAAAAGTTTCACAAAAAGTTAGAAGTCTTCAGCTAGCTACAAAAGAGTTGACTGCAGAATACAAGGCTTTTCTAATAAAATCAAAGATCAGTTGGTTAAAAATCAATAAATGGCAAGTGATTTTCTAGCTTTATATTAATAATGTGATAAAAGGATGTTGTCCAGTTAATATCTTAATTCATTTCAGATACTTCCATATTTATGAATACATATTATATTATCAATAAATTTGAAACCTTTAATATAGCATTTATAGCATAGTTATTTTTTTATATTTTATTTGTCAAGGAAGAATTTCAGCTGTATAAAACAAAATTAGTTTCTATCATGACAGATGGTACTCTTTCTGTTAAGCCAAAAATGTGGATTTATTGGAATTTTAAAACAAGAGACTAATGTTCCTCTTCTAGTTTTATTCCACTATAGAATACATAGTGAATATATTTGTGTTCAGTTTTCTGAAACAGATGCTTAGAAAAGTGTCATGGATATAGTTGTTAAATCTTTCAGTTTATATATGCAAATGTTATGAATCATCACCAGTTTATAGAAATGTTTCGAGAAATAGAAGACAATGAATTTTAATGATCTTGTATTCTTTGTCAATGCTCACTGGTTGAGCCATGGAAGAGTGCTATAAAGATTTGCTTGTTCTGTTAACTCCAATTCAAGATTTTCTTGAAACAAAAGGAATGCTTGCCAAATATTCAACAATCAAGACAAAAATGTCAGTGTAATTTCTTTTCTCACCAATATTACACTGCATACAAATAAGGTCCAAAGAGAGAAATGGCTTGAGACCTAAATAGACAATATGAAAGTTTATATTGAAAATGAAACATTTCATAATATAAATCAAGAATAATGATTTTACTCATTGTTTAACATTGATTAATATGTAGACTTAATTTTTAATTGTTAATTGATACAATTTTGTAATTGTAATTGGCAGCATTATGTTCATTTTTGATATTAATATATTTAGTGATTTGATTCAATATTAACAATACTTTGAATTCAATGCTGATAATACTGAGTTGACACAAGTGTTAATGTAAGAGAAATGTAGTTTTGAGATTGATATCCTTTTTCTTTAAAGTAAAATCCAATCTCTAATAAAATGCAGCCACTTTCCTCAGTGTGGGTAAGAAAGCTAAATGAAAAGAATTTTTGATACTTGAATCAGGCATTAAAACTATGTTTGGAACAACTTGAGTATATGAATTTATTTTTACAACTATAAATTTCATGAAATATGTTTACAGATCATATATTTCCAGTAAAATTTAGCATCTGAATTAAGATGCTATGTATATGTAAAATATATATCAGGAATTTCCCTTTACATTGTATTAAAAAAACTATAAAATATCTCAGTATTCAAGTTAATTGCTTATTAAAATGAGCATATTTTAAATATATTGGGTTAAATATTAGGTTAAATAAAATATATCATTTAATTTTGCCTGTTTCCTTGTACTTTTAAAAATGTGATTACTAGACAATTTTAAATGACACATGTAGCTCATTATATTTCTAATCAATGGGACTGTTATATACCATGCCCAAGAGCTTGATGTTAGCAAACGTACTTTAAACAGTCTTTCTGAAAACCAAATGATAACATTATTTTCAATTATTTCTGCCTTGTTGAATGTATCTGTGACAATATTGCTTCTGGTTTGGTTAATATACATGGCCTCTCTTTGTTTCTTTGCTTTGATCTACAGGCATATGGGCATGATATTATGAGGTATCCTGTATTACTGGTTTAGTTACTTTACAGTGCGTATATCTTTACTTTCTATATCTGCATATGAGTAGGGTTATAATTAAAGGTCAACATAAATGTTCATCTTTGAAAAACTAAAAATATAATTTTAAGAAAACAGTACAAAATAGTTATTTTTGTTACCAGTTCTTGAAAGAAATTGAGAAGTCTAAAATTACAAAATAGAAAGTGGTTTTTATTATTAGTAGATAAATAAAAGTATGGTAAGTTTTAACTGTTCATAAGAACAGCATGTGGTATGTAAAAATGAATAGCTAACACTGCAATATTAGTTATTTGAATTCAAAAGATGTGTCTGGTAAGAACACTGCTGAATAAACATTTGAATTAAAAAGCATAGGAAGAATAGTCACCTGGCAGGGGAGATCCCATGACTAAGAAGGAAGTTTTCCCAGGGTGAGGCTCACCCATTGCACTCCGGACGGAAGTGCTGACCCCTGTGATTTCCCCGAATGTGGGAAACCTGACTGCATAATTTGTGGTGGTGGGGGACTGTGTTCATGATCTCCCCTGGATAGGAAAAAAAAAAGGATAGGAAGATATTATTACAATTGATACAGTATTTTTTGATTCAATGACTTAATATTATATTGGTTTTTATATTTGTATACAATTCTGTCACAAAAATACAGTGACTTAGCTGACAGTTGAGCACAACAGGAAAAAGTCAAGGAAGCATGTTTCTTTAGCATGGACAGAATATTCATTGGAGGAGGAAACAAAGTGGTGCTCTCTACCACTGGACAAAGTTATCCTACCTTATATTGTCACAAAGGCACCCTACCTGCTCAGATACTTCTAAAACCTAATTTAAGGGGTAATCACACTATCTTGTTCAATACACTAACTTCCTCATAATTTAAGCCCACTTAAATCCCTTTGACTCCTGAAGTATTTTAGAGACATAGGCCTACTTGACCACTTTAAGTAATAATTGGTAACAGTCCCAGAATTTCCTAAGTATTTATTGGACATAGTCACCAGACAAAGCTGGATTTTACAAGTGCTCTGTTGGTTATTTGAGAGGTGAGATGGCAAGAAGGGAGCTGGAGGCATAAGATTTAAATAGACTTTATTGGTTGTAGGACATTATTTTCTACTTCCACAGAATAATATCTAATAAGATCACTCTTTAGAGGCCTTTTACTTCTGAATACAGTTTTAACATAAGGTCAATCTCCCAGATTTTTGAAAATGATAATTGATTCTAAGACTTCTAGCATCCAAAGTTAATTAGTAACTCAATGAGTCACCTTTCAAGTAGAAAATTACCATACACATTTCAACTTTAGAGAATCCAAGCAAAAAAAGAAAGATCCCTATACTTAATTTTTTTGCTTTCTATGGGGAGAATCTCAATTTAATAGAATTTTTCTACCAAATACAGTCTGATTACTGTTTCACAGAGGGACAGTCTCTGACATAATACAAATACTAGGAAGTGTTTTGAAAAATCTGAAATAAAAAAAATGTATCTTAATTGCTAAACAGATTTATGTTAATACTTGTTTATTTTACAAGTTACTAAGAATGAACCAAAAACATTATCAGTAGTTTTGAAGCTTTTTATGCACAATGTTGATTGAATGAAATGGCGAATTTTTTCTAATATTATATAGTTACATAAGATCTTTTCAAATTTCCTTTCATACCTCTTCAGCATCATGATGTGGCCATCTTAAAAGTGCCAGCAATTATATCCACGTAATTGAAAAAATGGATTTTCCCCAATATCTCTTTCAGATTCCAGAAATAATCTCTAACGGACATCTCTAATGGCATGTTTGAACCTTTCCAAAAACTTCGTCTTCTGGGGGCAGGTACGCTATTGAGGACTGTTTTTCTCACATTAACTTCTGCCTTCCTTTATTATCCACACATTTTTTGTGTAATCTTTTGCATGGCATAACATATTAAACATCTCCTTAGAATAATTAAATAAAAATTGCATTTCCTTTGTTTATGATCTTTCTAGGACTCTTCATCTCTTTGTGTGTGCAATTCTAAGTTTCTGTCTAGTATCATAGTACTTTTGCCTAAATAACTTTCTTTAATATACATTTTGATACAGGTCAATAGATAATAAATTCAGTTTTTTTAACTTAAAAAATAATACTCTTTTCTTTATTTTTAGGTGATACTGTTATTGGTATGGAATTCTGGGTTGACAGTATTTTTCTTTCAACATTTTAAAAGATTGTTTCACTATCTGCTTCCTTGTACTGTTTCTGGAAAAAAAAGGTCAGCTGTAATTATTTAAGCTTTGTTCCTGTATAAAATTCTTTTTTAAACAATTTGTCTGCTTTTTTGCTTCATGTTGCAGCAGTTGGAATATAATATATCTAAGCATGAGTTTTTCTTTGAGTTCTTTAAAACTATGGTTTGATATCTATCACTAATTTGGAAAATTCTTAGCCATTACTTTCTTCTGTTCTTGTTCCATCTATGTTCTTTTTCTGATATTTCTATTAGAAATACATAAGAATATTCTCATGTGTTTTAATAATTTTTTGATGTTCTATAATATTTTAATCTTTTTTTCTTGTGTTTCAAATTGTTGGTGTTCATTGACTAGCTCATGTTGACAATTCTTATATTCACTGTATTGTCTACCTATAAGTCCATCCAAAACAGTTTCTTTGGATATGTATTCCCAGAAGAGGATTTGCTGGGTCATAAGGAAGTTCCAATTTTAATTTTCTAAGGAAATTCTCTAATGTTTTCCACAGTGGCTGCTCCAATCTGCATTCCCACCAACAGTGCACAGGGGTTCACTTTTTTCCACATCCTCGCCAGCACTTGTTGTTTGTTAATTTATTGATGATAGTCATTCTGACAGGTGTAAAGTGATATCTCATTATGGCTTTAATTTGCATTTCTCTGATGATTAGTGATGTTGAGCATCTTTTCATATGGCTATTGGCTCTCTGTGTGCCTTGTTTGGAGAAGTGTCTATTCAGACCCTTTGACCATTTTTTTAATTGGGTTGTTTGTTTGGTGTTGAGGTTTATAAATGCTTTGTAAATTCTGGATATTAAACCCTTATCAGAAGTATCATTGGGAAATATGTTCTCCCATTCAATAGGTTATCTTTTCATATTGTTGATGATTTTCTTTGCTGTGCAAAAACTTTTCAGTTTGATGTAGTCCCATTTATTTTTTCTTTCGTTTCCTTTGCCTGAGGGCTATATCGGAAAAGATATTACTGTTAGAAACACAAGATTTTAGTGTCTGTGTTTTCTTCTAGGACATTTATGGTTTTGAGTCTCACTTTTAAGTCTTTAATCAATTTTGAGTTTATGACCTATGCTCACTTTGAGGTACTATTTGTGAGGGGTGCAAGATCTCTAGATTAATTTTGGGGGGATATGGATGTCTAGGTGTTTCAACACCATTTGTTGAAAAGATTATCTTTGTTCCACTGTGTTGCTTGGATTTTTTTCACAGATCAGTTAATTTTTTTACTAGGTCTATTTCTAGTCTTTCTTTTTTGTTCCACTGATCTATTTGTCTATTCTTTTGCCAATGTTACACTGTCTTGATTGCTGTATAGTACTTTAGAGTAAGAATTGAAGATTGGTAGTGTCAGTCAGATGGCTCTGTTCTTCTTTAATATTGAGTGGGCTATTGTGTGTTTTTTATCTCTTCATGTAAATTTTAGGTCCATTATCTAAATATATTTTTATATATTTTATTTTCCAAGTGTAGGTAATTTATTCTGCCTTTGTTGTGGAGAGATATTTTTAAGTCACCTGTAAGTATTGAACTTTAGCAAATGTTATTTCTGTATTAATTAAGCTAATCTCCCACATACTATTTATGATTCAGTTTTCACATACAGACAGACAATGCATGCACTTTTGTTGCATTCTTCTTCCCAGTGATAAACCCACCTGCCATGTTGAAAAGTTGGATAATCCAAAAAGAAATTGGTCAACAAAGGTAAAAATGCAGCCAAAAAACAAAAGAGAAAGAAAAGAAAATAAAAGTGATAATACTGAAAGTGAAAATCAAATTGAATGTAAATGAACTCAGATATAGATGACCATGGGGATATTGGCCCTACTGCCATTGGAAAGACTCTTGATTTGTAGCCAGAAAAACTTTATGAAGGTGCAGTTATTGACATAAGTGAAGAAAATGGATGTGATGAAAAGATGAAGATATCCTAGAGGAAGAGATATCAGTACTTAACGTCACATAAAAGGAAATCACAGAGATAATTCATGATATTGGAAAGCTCAAAAGATAAAATGGTGGGGGCCTATCCAAACTTTTGGAAAAATGACAACTCTTCAAGGCTTTGAAAAGATACTTGCTCATTATGTTTTGAGTTACATAATAACAGGTGGAAGGTTAGTTATTTAACTATTTTGATAATTATTTTACAATAAAACACTAATTTTCAATGTTTTTAATGTTCTAGATTACAGTGTACTAAGTAAATATAGCTTTATTGTATTTTTATTTTTTACATATTAATAATAAAGTATAAACATTTTTAATATTTAACAAAACTTTTTAAAGATCACAGAACAAAGTGAAGACTGTCTATGCTTCTGCTCTCTGTTAGGCTCATTAGAAAATTTGGGTGAAGAAAGATAGTGCAAATATATTATTGTTTCTATTTTAGTAAGAATCATAGATCACATCTCATTTTCCTTTAAAGAATCTAATTAAGGTTACCACACAAACAAGATTAAAACTTTTTATTTTAAGATTTACAGACTGAATTGGTTTCTTACAATCATTTAACATTTATTTATTGTGTCTTATGTACCTATATAAGCCATTTTAATGAAAATTATATTTTTGTGTGATTTACTTGAGAAAGAAACATTACTATCAAGAATGCTTTTGGTGATTAAAATGTAAATATTCTCTGTTATATAGATATATAGAATTGCAAAAGACCCCAAAGAGGCAAAGCAACCATGTGATAATGCTAAAAATACAAATCCTAAAATATAACAAGAACAACACAGGTTTTGTTAACAAGGTAAACACTTGAGCAGCTTTGCCTTGTGTGCTTCCCCAGAGTAACATCATAATATCATAATCAGTTCATCCTATATAAATAGGTTATATACATATATAATCATTTGGATTTTCTTGTTTACGTATTTAAGACTCTAAAACCATCTTCACTGAAGACTGGTGGCACTCTGAACATTGATATATGCAAGGTTTTTAATCCTTAATTAACAACGCAATCTGAGATGTTATAAGATGTGACTGATTTGCATAAGTTTATATTGTTGAGGACTCAATCTCATTTTCAAATATTTGAACAAGCTCATATTATAATAAGGAAACATTAAAAATTTAATCTGCTGGTAATAGATTTTCCCAAATAAATACATTTCATCAATAAGCACAGGATATTATGGATATCCTGCCATTTCTAACATCTGAATTTTAGTTTAATTTTCAGAGACTTATTACTGAAAAGTGGATGATCTGTTGATTTGCACTATCAAGAGTTTTCTTAATTTAGTAGATATCTTATCT